AACACCTTTGAGAGTGCCAAGAAGAGCAAGGTCCTAGTGAGGTGATTGAGATTTGAGAATCCCAAAGAGAGCCCTCATTTGTGAGATCAAGAGTAGCAAAGTGTGCATCCACCCTTCTCATTAGGCTTGTCATGGTCAAGTGAGAGTCCGTGCTTGTTACTCTTGGTGATCACCATCACATAGACGGCTTGGTGGTGGTTGTGAGCTTGGTGATCATCCGGCGGAGCTTGTGGATGACCCAACTCAAGTAGTGAGCGGTTGTGGGTGATTCACCGCGACGGAGTGTCGAAGAATCAACCCGTAGAGAGCACTTGATCCTTGCGCGGATCAAGGGGGAGCTACACCCTTGCGTGGGTGCTCCAACAAGGACTAGTGGGGAGTGGCGACTCTCCGATACCTCGGCAAAACATTGCCGCATTCCTCCTCCTCTCTTTACTTTGAGCATTTACTTTGAGCAATTCAATTCTTGTCATTTACATTCATAGAATTGCCATGCTAGAGTAGGATTGGAACATAGGGTGCTAAACTTTTATGCGTTAGATCAATAGAAACACTTTCTAGACACAAGGGGTTAATTGGGCTAACCGTAGGGTTTAATTATTGCAAAGAAATTTAGAATTAGCCCAATTCACCCCCTTCCTCTTGGGCATCTTGATCCTTTCACCCGTCCCTAAATCGCTCTCCATCTTTAGTATCTCTGTATCGATCTCCATATCTAGCTTCACGACTTTGTAACTGCCGCTTTTCCATGGTGACCTCAACGAACGACCTCCCGTCCATCGTGCTTGGACAGACACGAAGGGGATACTTCGCCTTAGCCCCAAATTTCCTGATGTCGCTCACACTCGCCGGAAATCTCTCTGTGGATGGATCCCAAACCCTAGCGGTGGCAACCCAGACCCATGATGAGGAGAACAACTTAGCAGTGCGGTTGGGTGGAGGAGAGTAAGAATGGGAGAAAAGGTCATCAATAGACGGGCCTAACTGGGTCGACCCACTCACAACTTTCCTTTTCTCGACGATTGTCAGTTTCATCTTCTTCCCCACAATCCCCACCATGTCAGAACTCTCAATAGGTAATCGAGCTTTAGAGCTAGTATTATTGTGCAACAATGGCGGCAGAATCACCTTTGTGTGCATCAATGGCGGCTGCAATTCCTGAACAATTTGCTCTATTTACTTCTGCACATCCCCACCACCCAGTGCACTATCCGGTTTACTGCTCCATGAGAAATGGATTGGCAAATTACCAATTGCAATCGAATTTGAGTCCACAACAGCAACTGGGGGTAGATTTCAATGACGAAAGTGCTCAACTCTATCAAAATCACTCAATTGCGAATGCTTAGGTAGCCCGAACGCTACTTTTGGAGATTTCTGTTTAGAACTCAATGGCGGAAATCGATCCAAGCTCAACCAATCTTCCAAATCCACCTCTAACCATTCAGACTGATCCTGATTCAAAATCATGTTAGGAAGCTTCGATTGGAGCTATAACTCTTTCCGACTGCTGGAGCGTGCCTCAGCACGCACCGAACTCGGGTACCTAGACGACAACCTCAGAGAGCTCTGCGGAGAAATCGAGTATGGCGGAAATGCTAGAGTAAGCCTATGATTCCTCATGGATGATGCAACAAGCCTTGCAGAGAACTCGGAAGCAGGATCTCATCGGGATCACGAAGGCCGGATACGCTGTCGGTGTGATGATCCACCGAACCACCTACCCCCGCGCTCGACCTTCTAGAATGTTCCCGCCACAGCGACCGCAAATCTCAACACGAGAGCAGGGGAACGAGAAAGTACCACGATCAGTCGACGCGGCATCGAACCCCAAGTCCAATCTCCCGCGAAACCGCGAAGATGACTCGCTAGTTCGTCGCCGATGATCACCGGAGTAAAGTCGTTGGTTCTGCCCCCTCTGCCTCCTCTCCTATCTGGAACGCCTGAATCGATGATCCCAATCCCATGGTCGGCCCATTATAGCCATCATTTGGGAACAATGCATCCAACGCCCCACGCTTGGATGCCGACAAAGGACCCTCAAAGATTGCCTCAAACTATAATGAGGACACCGCTACAGATGGCGAGAGTGGCGCGGAGTCATGGTCTAGCATCGACATAGGCTGCACAGAAATGGAAGCGTCTGGCCCAAGCAGCGGGTCCATTAGTGGATCGACCAACTCGTCTGGCCCAAGCAGGGGAACCCGAGCAACCGCCGAATTGGGCCCAAATTCAGGAGTCAGATCCCAGGCACACAGATGGGCCTCCTCATTAGAAGTCAAGGGCCGTAACGGGCTGTCTGGTCCATCGACCTGGACCGAGGGCCTGGCGCGCGGAGCTCCTTCCATCAGCGATATATCGTTGCTCAACAGGTTTCCAAGGAAAACCACAAGATTCGTTGCTCTCGACACGACGACCGACAAGGGAGACGTCGTCATAGACCGCCACGACGTGCTGCACCACCTTTCCCAGCATGGTAGGCAATATGGCCTCCTCTAAGACTATTGGGTCTGAATCCTTTCCCAAATCAACCTCGATCCTCTTGACCTGACCAGCCATAGCGTCCACAGAGATGTGGTCAGCTGTCTGACATGCTTTCTACGCCTCGACTGTCGCGGGAGCGCATGGCTCAACGCGCATGACACGGGGCCCCACCACGATGTCACGCCCTTCGAGGAATGGGCAGCCCACCGAACAAACGAGCACCACGCCACGCGACTAGAAAGTGGGTCCCCATCCTCGACCCAGACGTGGGGCATCGTCCCCAACGCCGGCAAACCTGGCCGTCCGAGGCCTATGCGACCGACCACCGCCATCATCGAGTCCGGGATGGTAACCGTTGTGACTACTGTCCCCGGAGTCATCATCATCGCCTCTCCTGTCATGGCCATCATCATCCTCCGGCGTGTTCCAGTCCTGGAGCTCGACAATGCGAATCCGCACCAGATAACGTAATCGAGGCAGCTCCTCCTGGATGAGCTCATCGGCACGAAGACGGAGGGGCCCCTCGCGCACCGTTGGTTCTGGGATGAAGATAATCTTCTCTTCAGGGATGAACCTCGGGTGAAGGCACCAAACAGCGACAAATAACTCACGATCATCATCCTCAGGGGTCACCTCCGGCGGAGCAAGCTCGACGCGAGCACATGCCGAGCCAAGAATTGTTTGCGCCACCGTCGTGCTTCTCGCATGCAAAGGGACACGTCTCATCCCGACCAACACCCTGAATCGGAACGAACCATCGGAGGCCAGAGACGTTCACCGCCACGGGCGCCAAATCAGGGAGAACGGGGCATCGTGTACCCGGGAGCCCAATACCAGCTCCAAGTCCTCGCGGCGCGAGAACCTGACGACGAAATCCTCCGGATCATGGTGATGGACTGTTGTCGACGTTTCGTCGAGACCGTAGTGGGTGGCGAGGAAGGTACGGACCATGGCCGGGGACACCAGAGGTCTGGTACCCACGACGATAGCAACCAGCGCAAGCCTGAGATCCGCTTCCGCCGCCTCATGCTCAGGAGAGCGAGGCACGACAACCAGCTCCAAGAAACGCCGCGGCAACTGCGCGGTAATGGCCACCTGCTGTGGCTCTGGGACGGCATCCGTAGGGCGAGAAGGCTCCACCACAGGATGAGGAGAATCCGCATTGGCCAGCTGCGGTGTAGGCGGAGCACAGCAGCAAGGTACGAACGGCAAGCGGCCCGTTGAAGCAGACCGAGCGGAGGCCGTGTCGTTCGCGTCGACTGGGCGACGATGGGTCATGGACACTCGCCGGGGCGCAGCACGACGGCCCTGAGCCACCCTTGCCGGGGAGCAAGCACGCTTCCCGGACCTAGCCATGGTCATGGGTGGGAAGGGGCAATCCTTGGCGCGGTGGCACTCGCTCCTGCAGTTGGTGCACAGTGACCGGAAGACACAGTCCGCCTTGACATGGTCGTCCCCCAAGCAATTGAAGCACAGACCGACCAGGTTGGGCGGAACCGCCTTCGCCATCTTCAGCGGCGCGCGCCTGCGCAAGTGACGACGGCTATGAAATTGATGAAACCCATCAGCGTGAGGAGGACCCGAGAACCGTGCTGGGTGGGTGACCATGGACGAATGCCGCCCATCGTCGGTGTGCTGGTGGGGCTGAGTCTACCATTGGGGGTGACTACGACGCGCCGCAGCCATGAAGCCCTCTGGATTCCTGGCACGACGATGGCGGCGTGGGCGACGGCGACGGCCGCCATGCACCACGACCGCCTTCCCCTTCCCCTCCGGAGACGGGAGTAGGGCTCAGATTCCTCCGAGGCCTCGGAGTCGGTGAAGGAGAGCCTCGCGCCATACCCCGAGCCGGCCGGCGAGGAGCCCCCGTAGAAGGGAAGCGCGTCGGGGTTCAGGCTGGGCGACATTGCGACGAAAGGCTGGGCACCGGCAGCCTCCTCCTCCACCACCTCCTCGGCCCACGAGCGCCGGGAGTAAGAGCCGTGCTCCATGGCCGGCAGCTGAGTAGATCTGTGAAGCGGCACACTGATTGGCATTTTAGAGTAGTGATTTGGACCCTGTTTTCTGTTAAAGCAACACAAGGCTAAATTTAAATAAAAAATTATAATGGTTGAATAATACACTAACAATGTATTGAGAGAAAATGAATGGTGTAAAAATATGAGCTACTAACTTAGCTACTCTTTTAGAGTTTAAACTAATTTACATGTACCAATTCATTGTAGCAAGATACGTAGAGAAACGGTCAAGTTTGTAGTTCAGCACGTCGGACCTGAAAGCACAGCAGAATGGTCCTCGTCAAGTTCAACGTCCTTTGCCAACGAAGGCAAACAAGACTGCATGTACGTTGTCTTGCACTGCTTCTCAGTCTGTACAAGCTGCCTGCCTATATATGTGATGTTGCTCCATCTCCCATCACATAAACACTTCATCACTCTCAAGAGCAACCAGCTACAGTTTACAACTACAGTCTCTTTCTTGCCGCTACTGATTACTCACAGCTCCATTTGTAAACCATGGCATCCCAGGCCATCGAGGGCCGCCGTGCACGTGCACAGGTCGTCACCGGAGACGCCGCGTGTAGGAAGAAGTCCATTGAGCTGCTGGAGGAGCTCGGCCTGCCCAAGGGCCTGCTTCCAATGGAGGACATCCAGGAGTTCGGGTACAACCGAGAGACAGGGTTCATGTGGCTGGTGCAGGGGAAGAAGAAGGTGGAGCACACGTTCAAGAAGATCAAGCAGACGGTGTCATATGCCGCCGAGGTCACGGCGTTTGTCGAGAAGGGCAAGCTGAGGAACATCATTGGCGTCAAGACCAAGGAACTGATGCTCTGGCTCAGCGTCGTCGAGGTATATGTTCCTGAGGCATCGCCGGAGAAAGTCACTTTCAAGACCGGCACTGGCCTGTCTGATACCTTCGAGGCCACCGCATTTGCACTCGGACAGTAATATAATCTCGAGCAATGCAATCACCAAATTGGTTAGCTTGAAATATATATGCCGATCGAGCGTGTAATCTCAGTTCAAGTCAAAGTACTACGTTGCCTCTGCTGCCCCCATATTTATTTCTTGTTCTGTAACCAAATATGTATGATGTATCGTGTCTGGAATTTGATTTTGTATTATTCCGGGCCCATCGTATCGGAGGCGACCTTCAATCTGGATGAATCAGACGGACCATATAATTAACAAGCTCTCGCACTGACCATATAACCAAATATGTTTAGCACCGATCGGCAGCCAGCCCCGAGCAGCATGGCCACGCCACGCCACGGCCACCGCCAGCGCCAGCGCCACGCAAGACACAGCGATTAGACCGGTTTAGACCGTCAACTTGACGTAATACCCTACGTCCTATGTATTTGAGGATTGTATTATGAGAGATCGGATGAAAACAAGGGGGTCCCTACCCGCCTTATATAGCCCGGTGGGTAGGGTTACAGGTCAGTTGTTTCTATCCTGATCGGTTTACAAGATAGTAATTATAGAGATTGCGGAATCTAGCATATCCGAACAGATCATCCTTGATCGCCAAGGATCTTCATACAGTCTTGTGAGACACGCCGACTTGTGCCGTGCTCCGTGCGGCGTAGTTTTGCAGGCTGGGCCTCCCCTGACGGCTCGGCCCATGTACAACCATGTGGGTATTGGGGGTTATACCTCAACAGCTAGTCCCCGAGCGCCTTATATCCGTTGAGCAACACCGTCTTGAGCTTGTCCGAGCTGTCCAACTTGTTGCCAATTATCAAGTGCAGGCTTCCGACCAGTTTAACTGGGAGCCGAGCAGTTGAACGAGCACCCGAGCTGTTAGAGCAGACGTCCGAGCATTTCAACTAGGGAGATGAGCTCGGACTCATGTGAAGTCGAGGTTTGTCAGAAGGATGTAAGGAGCTCAAGTAAAAAAAAATTGAAGTCTCCATCTTACATGAAGTGTGCCCACTTAGGTTCCGGGCAGCGAAGTTAGATGCTTAGCGTCCCTGACTTAGTCAGCACTGAGGAACTTAGTCCCTCAAGAATAAAGAAGGATGCTTAGCATCCATGCCTTAGGCAAGATTGACTCTTAGAGCCAAACAGGAGGCGATGGCGGTTACCGTCCACGACTTAGTCGTTTCGAAGGGAGCCGAGTTCTAAAATAAGCACATTCACCGCAAGGTGAAATGTGCCCACTTAGTCCCCGAGCCTGACAGTAGATGAAGTATTCATGTGCTTCCAGGGTCCAAAACAGTAGACTTCATATGTCAAAACAGTCCCCAGCTTAGCTGAGAAAAATTAGTATAGTCATCGCTAGATGACGTGTACCCAAGTAGTCCCCGAGACCGCTGGAAGATTGTGAAGAAATCTTGTAGCAGATCTTAAAGATAAATTCACACATGGAAATTCCCAAATAAACCAGTGAAATAATGCTTAGCACTTAAATCTGTTTGGGAAGCCCGCGTGCGGCGCGGTTTCAGTTGTGAACACGCCAAGCCCATTTATCGGCCCAGGAGAGTGCATGGAGATTTCGGAAGTGGGAATGACGCGGTGGGCACGGTTTCCCAAAAACCCATAAAGGCAAAGAGTCAGGGGTCGAACCGTTATAAGGCACCACAACCACGGTGTACACCCCCATCATTTCTCCATCGCATCATCTTCTTCCTTACTCATCTCACCCACGCACCGCGCAACCGCTCCGCCATTAGGGCTATTTCAAGCGCAGAAACCACCCCTTCTTCCTCAGATCTGCTTGATGGCGCCGAAGAGGAACCATGGGAGCTCGAGGGCGGCGACGCGCGGAGTGAACCGCGAGGAGGAGTGGGTGTGGTCCATCAGCGACGAGGCGGCGCTCAACACCCTGGTGGTTGACAGGGTGTTGCCGGATCGGGTAACGGCGGGATGGCGTTCTTCGTTTGGTGAGGAATTCCCCACACCCCGCACCGATGAATTTGTCGTCTTTGAAGATTACTTCTACCGAGGATTTGGTGTTCCCATTCAACTATTCCTTCACGGGTTGATTGATTACTATGGGATCAGTCTATGTAATCTAAACCCGAACTCCATCCTTCACGTTTCCATCTTCATCAATTTTTGCGAGGCGTATCTAGGAACCCTTCCCCATTTTGACCTCTTTCGTCATTTCTTCTGTCTCAAAATCTGGGGGGGGGTCTGGATCTAGAGTTGTGGGCGCCACCTATCTACAGCTTCGGGACAGGATGGTGAGCCAGTACATCGCCGTCCCGCTCAACACAAATGTGAAGTACTAGGCGTCAAAATGGTTTTATATCTGACAAGTGGAGCCGTATATTGCGTGTGATGTAAACCAGATCCTGGTGAGCAATTCTAAGTGATCGGAGAGGCCCAGCTCCAATGAAATGGAGCAGGTGAGGGAGCTCCTGAGGTTGATTGACCGCAGGAGAGTTGATGGCATCATTGTGGCGACGAATTTCACCTTCCGTCGGATCCAGCCTAGCAAAGAGAGGGCGCATCCTGGATTTGAGTTCCAGGGAGACACCGATGGGACCCGGGAGGTGCCTGAGGAGATTGACCGAAACGAGGCCAAGCACCGAATCTAGATGCCCTTTAACCTCGTAGGTCGGCTGTCCATCAGGGATCAGCAGCGGGCCTTCAGCGTTGGGAACCTCCCTCCAACGGTAAGGGTCTTGTGCGATGTTCACTTCATCATTCTTGTTGCGCGTTGTGTTCATTTATGTTGTTGAAGATTCATGGTAAAGACCGAGCTGTGTATTTTTCGATAGTGCCCTCAGCGGACTAGCCGAAGGGTATGGATGCTCGTTCGAGCAGTCCCCAGCATCTTTCGAGCTTAGACGCTGACGAGGAGGGGTCAGAGAGCCATGGAGCTGGAAGTGATGACGGGCGAACGACGTATGTCCATGAGAAGCTTCAGGGCAAGCGGCCCGTTGATGAGGATTCATCCGTGAAAAGGAGGAAAACGGCGAGGCCCTCCCGAGGTCAGGAGGGACTAGTTAGTATTGGAGGTTCCACCCAGCCCCAGAGGTGGTAGATGGTGCTGTCAGAGACGTCCTCTAATGATGAGCCGGTGGAGCCTCTGCCTCCGAGCACCAAGACGCCTCCAATGGTTGTCCTAGCAGCAGCGAAGACGCGGGAGCAGCGATGAGCATGGGAGACCACGGCGGCAGTCCCTAGGGATGATAGGGGGCCACGGCAGCTATTGCGGTAGGGACCGGTGGGTGAGTCCCCGAGGCGACATGGGTGGTGACACCTGTAATAGCGGGGATGACCAGCTCGAGGATGCAGGAGGTGCCGGGTGGCTTTGCCGCGGGACAGGGTGGGTCAGGCAAGTTATGCGGTTCCAGACGACCCGGCATGAATCGCAATTATAAGTTTCCTTCATCCTCATGTTTTTACAAATACGAGAATGTTGCTCGATAAGTTGTTTCTTGGTTGTAGCGCGGAGTCGATAGAAGAGTTGCATCCATCGGCTGCTGACGACGGGCAGCGCGTAGCGGTGCCGGAGGCTCCTTGCACCGGTAGGGGATGAGCAAAGGCGGATCCGGTCACCCCCACCGTGGAGGAGACGCCCGCTGTAGAGCCGGTCACCCCTACGATGGTAGAAGTACCAGTCACCGGGCCAACCTCTCCTGGCGGTGGGGCGCATGATGAGGGTGACCTTGCCAACGCGTCGGGTGGCGAAGAAGCGTGGATCGCGGTGGGGTCATTAAGCGGTCTTTTTGGGGCAGGGTTGAGGCCACGGGGGATGCGCCAAGTAGCACGACTGAGGGCCTATTCATGGCAGAGGTGGCAACCCCTACGGCGGCGGCGATGGCCTAGATGGGGCTCGGACATCCTATTCGAGCATAGCAGCAACCAAGGAGGGGCCCTCCGAGGGCAGCGTTGTAGAAGTTGAAGAGATTGTTCGGGAGCCCACTCAGCCCCCTCAGGTCCTCCGCACAGTCATCCGGCGTGGCAATGAATTCAACATGCTGGAGGAGGAGGAGGTGAGTGTGGAAACAAAGAGGCTGAGAGCCGACCTATCGGCGATGGTTGGCTGAATTGAGGTAAGACTGAGGTAATTGTGTGTTGCGTCTATTGCCGAGTGCGGTTCATGACCATTTGTTGCTGCAGAACATAATGAAGATATCCGAGCAGCTGGCGGCAATTGGAAGAAATGACGCCGGTGCTGGAGGAGAACAAGAGCCTACAGGAGTCAGTGATTGGCCTATAGGTGTGTCTTCTACAAGAGCGCCACCATAGGGAGGACCTAGAAGTAAAGGTCTTGGCGTTGGAGAAGGATCGCCAGCTGCTAGAGGCAGAAAACCACTCGCTGGCTGAGCAGTGTAGCCGCAGCACTGACCAGCAGAAAGGTATGTCTGGTGGACCTTACTCTGTTAATAATCAGCATTGTAAGACGTCTGCCTGGATGTGCAGCTCGAGAGATGGAGCTGCTCATGTGTTGCAGAATATGATTATCAGGCGCAGGCACAGTTCAAGGTCTTCGGGACCAAGTCAAGGCCCATGACGATAAGCTAGAAGCGATGATAGCTGGGATCAAGCCATGCTGGACTGCATTGGTTTCGTGCCGCCCGAAGGGACGACGCAACTGCCTGGCGACCTGCCACCCCGGACAATCGTGGACCAGTGTCAGACAGTGTGGTTGGACTTTAAGGAGTTCACGCGCAGTGATGCCCATGGGGCTGTCATCCATGCGCTTGCGGTGTTGCGGTCGCACTATCCTTCGGTAAAACCAGATGTGATAATGACTGGCTACGGCCGAGGAACGGATGCACAGAAGATCGCCAAGCTAGAGGACGAGGTCAAAGAAGCAGTGGCGAGGCTTGCCGGGGACATCAACCTGTTCGGCGAGGGACAAGGCAGTGTCCAGTAGATTAGAATAAATTTCATGTTTAAATGCTGTGTAAAACTGCTTAGCAGCTTTTGGTGCACACTTAGTGTTATGGTAGGTTTTGTGTTTATATTTAATATGAACCATCCGA